CCCGCTGGTGTTTTTCCTTATTTTGTTTGTATTTTTGGAAGGCTTTTTCCTTGCTCTTTGCTGCAACTATTCTACTGTGTGTGTGTATTTTTATTTATTTTATTCACGTGCCAGCCGTTATTCTGTATGCGTCTTCCTTTTGATGTCACCAGCTGCACCCGAGACGTTTCTTGATGTGGCGAATCGATGCGCCTTTCGTACTACGTTTAGGCGCCGTCAACAAAACGTGCGTCAAGGTCGTCCCCGCCGCTTTCAGATGTGCTATTAGCATTCTTTCTGGTGGCGCGTCAAGTTTGCGCGTGCTCAGCTCCCCGCTTTGATGTCCTATATTTGCCACCGGGGATAAACAAAAAACAAAAATAAACGAATGCCGTGTTCATCAGGGCTAAAGTGGAACAGAGTGGATCCGTTGCAGAGGGAGCAGCACGATGAATTGGATTGGAGCATCAAATCACAATGCACCCACGTTTCCTTGGTTTGTCTTGCCCTCCTGTTACCCCGCCACCATATTTGCAAAATTTCCATCTGATGCTCCATTAAGCTTCTTGAAGGTACTGCCACGTCGAGCCAGCAGTGTGTGTGTGTGTGCGTGCCTGCGTGCGTGCGTGCGTGCTGCATGGAACTTGGGACTGCAGTGTAAGTAAGACTGATGAGGGTGTCAAGGTTGCAACCGCCACCTTTCAGGCGCCCCCCCCCCCCCACTATGTTTGCACATTGGAATGACCTCAAACAGTTTTGCGGGCGGGGGGGAGGATCAGCAGCCGGCGCTGCTGGTGGCCCCACTGTGACTTCTCCTCCCATGTAGACCAACAGAAGTTGCAGGATTCAAATGACCTGTAACGGTTTCAAGCCTGGGTTAAGATTTCGAGTTTGGATGACATATTTAGATTCAAACTAGGGTTTTACTTTCAAAAAAGGTTACCGGTTCACCTCAGGGCTCATGATTTTAAATTGGGGTTCAAAGACAGAGTTTGGGTTTCCTGCTAATAATTCAAGAAAGTAGTTTTTGTCTGTCAAACACTTGTTTTGGTATGAAATTAATGTTTGCAGCCAAAATGGGGCAATTTGTCTCCGGCTCTTCATAGTCCAGTTGAAAGCACCTTTTTTTTTTTTTTTTTTTTTTTTGTCCCAGCTCATGCAAATTAGACTCGACTCACCCCAGCCCCTCCACCGTCGGGTGTGGCAAAGTGAGTTGAGCTTGATGTGACATGTCATCGGGTTACAATCGCTTTGTGTTGAGACAAGAGTCATAAAGCAAATGACGCATTGATTTGCCAAAGCCGAGTCACGCCTCCCGAAATGGATTCGTCAGTGGATTTTCACGCCTGAGACACACACACACGAGTGTAAACGAGCAATTAGAAAGTCACTTTTTCGTAATACGCTTTGTCCCCTTCAATTGGTGCAAAAGCAACGTGCTACTTTCTGTCTGTCACAGTGCTAATTAACTGCAGCCTTTGTTTTTTGTATCCGCTTTTAATTAAGCGTAAGCGCATCGCGAGCTAATTAGACGAAGGTGCTCATTTGGAATGCAATAACAATACACTCTGCTCAGGAGCCACCGAAATGGCAAAAATCGTCATCCTCCGGCCTTAGCTGCAAGGATGATTTTCGCGCCTGCAAAAGGCTGGTCGGAGGAACACGTGCGCTTTAAGGCGGCCGCGGCGGCACTACGCCCCCCCCCCCCACGCACTCCTGGAGGAAGATCTTACCTCCCGTTTTCTATTTATTGACATATTATTTTCAAAGTCCATTCCCACGGTGCCACCCAGTGACCTCGTGGCCGCCCGGCGAACACTCTGAGGCGGACCCGCCAAGTGGCCGTGGCACCAAAAACCCGCTCATGTATTTTGAGCGTGTGCAAAGCTCACGTTGATCAAGCCGTCCTCCACGAAATGCCGAGGAATTTCTCGCAAAAGCAATTATTCTTCAACTCCTGATTGATTGCAATGGTGTACATATCGCGCAGTTTAGCCGCAGCCGCTAAGCTGCGCTAACGCTCGCCTTCTGTGACTTGTTGAAGCGCGGCTCCTCTCGCAGTACAAACGTGGCAACTTCTCATTATCTCATCGTCCCCCCCACCGCCACCCTCCCGCCGTCTCTACTCGGCCGTGGTAATCTTTGCTCCCACTCGCATGCTCTTCACATCTCGCATCACTCGTTTGATCTTCGGGAGCGAGTTGCCGGAGCACAAAAGTCTGCCACTCGGCGTTGTCAGAAGCCGGCGGTGGAGGACAAACCTTTTTCAAGGCCCCGTTTTGGAAAGAATTGCATCCCCACCTCACATCCAGCCGCCACATGCGTATTTAGGCTTGACGATGCAGATGAAAGATTTTGTCGCTTGATGATTGGTGTTAACGAGCTAAGAGAAAAACCGAAAAGCTGACTGTGTCGAAACAGCTGACCATCGGCAGGACCAGGACAGGTTGCTTCAACGGCGGCAAGGGCGCCAAGCGCAGCCTTGACCGCTTCGGGGGAGCCTTATTTTCAAGGTTTCCCCACCCGGTCAGTTATTTTTAAGACACGTCACAAGGAAGCAGCGACGGCTCCGACGAAGGCTGAAGCGACAGACGAAACTGTTAGCCAGCTAAGCGTTTTTCTCTTCACCAAAAATTCAAGCATGCGTTCGGTTTCCAAACAAGGGCGAGTATTTTTCAATTCAGGCTTCCAGCGAAGGTGAGGCTTTCGCTGGAGCTTTCCTGCGCTCTTGACGCGGTTGTTGTGTCATTGGGGGAAGCGATGTGATTTATGCTGCGTGTTTTGTGCGAGTGTCGACATGAAATGGGTGATAACAAGAGCGCCCGGCCAAAAATTCCAGTGAAGCCAGACTCGTCCCCGTCATGCGCTCCGCGGCAGCCACTTAAGCCGGCGCTCGGTCAGCGCGCCGCCCGTCGCCGGCCTCATCCATCACCGCCCGGCGCCATCCCCGCGGAAAATAATCGGATCTAAGAATTGAATTCATCACCAGAAGCAGGCTCGCCGCAAGACGAACGGCCGCGGGGACGGACGGCGGACCCAACGCCTTTACGCTCAAAAAGCAAGCAAAGCAGAGCAAATGTGACGCAAATCGCCCTTTCAAGACGGGGTGTCGAATCACCGATAAAGTTTCAAATGAGGCTCTCAAGCGTGGGTCACGTTTTCAAACAAGGGTTGGGGTTTGAAAGGCGAAATTTATACTCGGATTAGAGCTTCATTTGGATTCTTTGGCTTTTGACTCGGCATGAGACTTGATTTTTTTTTTTGTTGGACGGTGTTTGTGCTTTGTAACGTCTTGATTATTCATTTAGTGTTTTATTGTTGGTGGTTGTCTGAATTCTTTTTGCTCCGTGTACAGCATTTTGCATACAGCGGTGGATACAGCTGCAGAATTCCACTCGAGTTGGATTGTCATCTGGCTCTGCAAATGCAGCAGCGGTGCAAATGGTCGAGTCCGCCATGACTTGGTGCCAATGAGATGGAATTGGATGGAAGGCCACCCGGTGCAAAAAGCCTATTTGTTGGCGCAGGGGGTTTCGCTGCCGATAAGATGAGAGGTTAAGGGAACTGACCGAGACTGCGCCGGTGTGCTCGCCGCCACGGAAAAAGCAGCAATTGGCTCAACCATATCAGAATGTGCGAGTGGAGAGGATGTTTTGCTATTTCTTGCACTCCGTCCCCCCATTTTGCAAAGAGGCAAGAGCGCGTCCCTTTCGAAGGGTTGGATTTGGCAGCCAAAGATGTCTGAAAGAATCCACAGAACGCAGACTGTATACAGTATGCCACGACGCTTGCATAATATGCACTTGGAGAGAGCGTCACTCATGGCCAAGTGGCTGCGATGAGAAAATCGGAGCGAGCAGGGTGGGGGTGTGCGACGCGGACGAGGAAGCGGCCGCCTGTAATCAAACGCAGGTGAACAGGTTGTTCCACAGATGGCCGATCCGCAGAATTGCACCCGATTTATTTCAGCTGCTTGCCGTCGGTGCGCCGCCGTTGTCTCCTACACACCGGCAGACTCCGGACAGATTCTTGATATCCATCCAATGTGGGGTGTTTTTCTTCACAGCTTTGACTCCAGCTCGCAGTCCTCTTGTGCGTAAGGTGCCCATAAAGGAGAGGGAGGTCCGGAGAGGACAGCGATGCCTTCAAGGCCGCGCTGTCCGACACCAGGACAGGCCCGAGACGGACAGTCAATACCGAGACCGAGACAAGACCAAGACTTGTGTGAATCAGGACCGAGTCAAGGCCAAGACCGAGACCGAGACAAGATCAAGACTTTTGTGAGTCAAGACCAAGTTAATCCTGAGACAAGACCGAGGCCGTAAAAATCACTCTTCCAAACCATGCCATTGTGGAACAGTGAACTCGCGTTCTCTTGTTCATTGTCATTTTTCTTTGAAATAATATGTGACAGCCACAAAGCTCGAGTCCACAACTCTTTCAAAGCACACCATGCAAGCGTCTCGAATTCTCAGGGCCCCGTTGTCGTCGTCTCAGAAGACATTGCGCCACTCATCCAAGCGGGATTCATCACGTCATTCATCCAGGCTCGGTTCGGACTCGACCGTCCTGAGGCGGGTCTCTTCTAAGTCGACCACACCAGTCCAGTTGCCGACGCCGCAAAGGTTGCAGTCACAAAAGGGTGCCGGGCGCTTGCTAGCGCATTTATTGAATGACTCTTTGGTTTTCAAGTTGAAGAATAGGAGGTCGGTGTTTCGACTGGTCTGGACGAAAAATCCGGAGTCTGACATGTCCGAGACCAAGCCGAGACCTGGAAAATAGGGTCCCAAGACCCGCACTTGTGTTGCAACACTAGAAGAGGCGGAACGGAGGCGGATTTTAGGCAAAGCAATGGACTCGATGCCTTCGGTGGCATGTTAGCATCCGGCCGGCACGTGCGGACACTGGGGCAGCGCGAAACGTGTTCGCGCAAACGCGGGTCGACGCCGAACAAAGCGGCGCACGGCAGTCGGTATCGTGCGTCTTGCTGTTCTTGATGCCCTGTGTTTCTGTCTCGTCAGACCCATGCCCAGAGATGGCGTCCAAGTGAGCGGCGTCATGCGTGCGAGGCGCCCGGGGGCCGCGCCCCTCCTGCTGATGGTCCTGCTGGAGCTGGCGTGCTGTCAGGAGGCTCCCTTAGTAGCAGGTAAGACTGCCGCCATCTCGCTTCGGCCTCCATCCGCCTCCATCCGCACGCTTGTCTGACTGGTGAGGGCGGGACACCGGCGGCTCCGTAGAAGTCATCGTTTTGTTTTGTTTTTTTTGTCTTTGCCATCTGGCGGCATCACCGGGCCATGTTCCGATTCGAAAGCTTGCGTCGTTCTTCCAATTTTCCGCATTTTGCTCACGCTTCATTGAAATCTTTTGTCAACATTCTCGCAGATCGGTTACGTGAACTCTTGGGCTGATTTGTGGAATCTGAACTTGAAAGTCTATTTTCAGCTTGGCTTGAAACTCGAACCCTCACGTTAAAACCCCCTTTCCAATTGCCAACCCAACTTTGAAAACCTAACCCAAGCTTGAAGCCCTAATTTAAAACCCTAACCCTTGTTTCAAACTCTAACCCAGACGTGGTGCCTTAACCGAGGATCGAAACCTTAGCCGTGTCGAAAACACTAACCCTGGCACGAAACGGTCATTTGAAGCCAGCCCTCGGTTTGTCTTGACACCCTACCTTGAATGTGTAACTGATGTTTGCAACCCCGATTTGGGTTCCTGTCCTACTTCCACTGACATGAAATCAGATGTTTACCATGGAACACGCTTTGGCCTCAGCTCACGTTCCAAACGTAGCCGCGACTGTTGGGCGGTTGTGACATGAGCGACGTTGGAGAAGTTGGCTCTTCAAATTCCGGCGGTTCTTCCTTTTTAGTCGAGCTGAGCGTGAGCCATAATGCCTCCCAAAAAGCCGCGAGAAGAAAACGTCCTGCCTTCTACTTATTGTGACAGGAAGATTGCATTGCTTAGCGCTCGCTATTCAGCTCACTCGCCCGCCTGAGGGTGATTAAATATGGGCGTTAATACGGCTTCGGCGAGAGCCTTGAATTACGCAGGAGCCACGCTGACCTTTTTAAATTACAAGAGCGACCGCGCGAGACGGCCGCGGGGAAGCTCATCGCCCCGGCTGCCAAAACGCAGCCGGCGGCTGAAAGGATGCGCCGCCGCCGGGCCGCCTTCCTTAGAAATCTTCTGTCAGAACCACGTTTGACACTTTGGACCAGCAGAATGATTGTCGCGGACGAGCTCGAAGCGCACGGCGGCCAAACTGCCGCCTCGCATTAACGCCGATGGGACTTCATACATCTTGATCAGGCGGGCCTCCTTCCCTAGTCAGCACTATCGTCTGCGGCTGAGAGCTGAAGGTCGTCCGCCGCTGATCCAATTTGAAGCCGGAAAGATGAAGCGTGAAAGTTGCCCTTTTGGCATCGCGGTGCGCAGCTGCGGCCATTTTTCAAGGGATGACTGCACTTATTTGGCGCCCAAACCGATCTCGCGGCGCGCTTGGCAAAAACCGCACGAAAGCTCTTAACAGATGAAAACGTCGAATTGAAATACAGCTCCAAGTCATATCAATGTTGCGGCGCGCTGTGCGGAAAGCTCTCAGACGTCCACGTGGGAGTCTGTGGGGGGCGGGGGGGGGGTTGCCAAGGTGGTTTGAAAACTTGTCTGTGGCCGGCTCTAGTCAGTGGAGAAGAGCCACTCGGGTGTTCTCGATGACTCCGGGCTGTGTTGGGAGACTGGGGCGGCTCCGGCGGAGTCCGCTCGGAGTCTGGGCGACGCCCACCTCCCCGATGTCATAGTTTGCTTGCATGGCCACCAGTAGGTTGAATTTCATTGTCGTGAGAAGCTGCCCGGAGGAGGTCTGTCCCATATCCTCTGTGGACAGAAATTCCGCAGGGGACGCGGTCCAGCAAGCTATCAACTCTCGCTGGAGAGCTTCACAACTTGGAATAGCTCCAAATCTGACTTTGTGATCCAATCCGTGTCAGAGTCGAAGTGTCTTGGGGTCTGGCTCACAGACTTTTTTTGTAGTTTTGTAAGGGGGGCTGTCCGTGGGGGGTTATTAAGACCTCGGCTGCAGGTCATTCGGTGCGCACGACCCGTTCGCTTGCCGCTCGCATTCATTTCCGGAGTTCGAATCAGAAATCGTCAGGGTCGCTTGGGCCTCAAGGTTGTCCGGTTCGGTGGCCTGATGAAGTTCCGCTCGGCTTCACCAGGCTGCGATCATCAACCGGCGGCCAAGTGTGAATTTCAGTGTGTTGTGGGATCGGAGTCCGGGGGGCCTTCGCGGGAAACCGCTCCAGCCTGCCCGCCCGTAATCACAGGATCCGAAACTCATCCGAGCGGGCTTCCGAGAAAAGCCCGGAGATGAGATGACCCGGACGTCCGGTCAGAAAGCCTCCCTGGCGAGGTGTCCTGGGGGGAGACCTCAGCCGCCATCGTGGCCAAGGTCTCCCCCCCCCCCCCATTAGAAAACAAGCAATCTGTCCGCCTCCCTTGTTTTGGCAGAAAATGTGGCTTTGCCCACCAATAATGGGATTGTTTATAGCTTTCAACAATTCCCTGCGAGTGGGGTGAGGTGTAGCGAGGGGAGGGGGGGGCTCGGGCGGCGGCGCGGGGCTCTTATCGTCTTCCAGCCTGCCACCATTTAATTACACGGAGAGGCCGCACTTGCTCATCACACTCCATCCGCCCCCGGGCCACCATTTAATGATGCGGAATCCGCTCCGGGAGCCCCCTGTCATTTTTTTTTCTTTTTTAAATTTTTTTTTTTATTAGCATCATTCTGCTGCTTTTTATTCACATACTTCGCAGTGTGTCCAAGGACGTCTCTGCCGGTTTTCCCTTTTCATATTGTTCTTCCGGGCTTGAAAGTGGAAGGCCTGAACAGGAGCGCCTTGGGCTAAAAAAGAAGCTTCACATGTGATTTCACCTTCAGCCGGATGCTCCTCCTGCTGCTTTTTTTTTTTTTCACGGACCAAAACACCGGCGGGTCCTTGACAAGAAGGTAAAAACAGCCGACTGCCGAAACAAAAGCCTCTTCAAGTCGCATTGCCTTGAGAAACAAACAAACGTCTCGCAAAACACCTCACCTCAAATGAAAAAAAAAAAACGCACCATCTCCTTTGGCTTCTCAGATCTCGCATGAATAAAACAACGACTAATGCCATTAAATGTGACATTATTGCTCTTAAATGCAAAGGATGACATTTCAATTGAAATGCCGCGCCGTGCGCCGGCAGCGCGCTTTATTGATTTCCACAGAGACGCGACACGGGCACCTCGGTATCTCTTAACCCTGATTCTCATTCAGTCAGTCGCACGCATACCCCCCCTACCCCCTCCCCGAGCGTACCTCTCCGGGGCTTTGTGCTGTGGGACTGCGGCAGCAGTTGTCATCCCGCAAATGAATTTCTCTCCATTAAAGACGGCGTTTGCGTTGCCGACGCCGCATCCGGTTGGCGTCAAGCAACCATGTTGGAAGTGATCTTGTCACGTCGGGGACAAGAGGCTACCTGTTAGCTTAGCCGCTTAGCCTGGGTTGGAAGCCTCAGTTATGGAGCCACGATGCAATATTTGCACATTTGCAATATCGACTCCGCTGTACTTCCGGAGCGCTTTGAAACAACCGGCGCCGTGGAGATTTGTCATCTATTTGTTTCAGTCGTGTTGAGAGATTTGAATCGATTTTCAAGTGTTGTGCTATTGATGGTCGAAAGGTTAAATATTGGACGATGATTCTTCAAAGTGTTTGTGGTATGTGAAGACTGACTGAATTCAAAGGTTCACCTGTGTGGAACTGCTGATATGGGCCGGGAACCTTGTACGAGATTTCCAAATACGGGCGAGTTCATTGCGGACTTTGCATCGGTCTGTTGTGGTGTGAAAAGCGGGCTTCTCCGCAAAGGGCTCAGAGCCGAGCCGCTTCTCGTCCGCATCGAGCCAGATGAGGCGGCTCGGGCATCTGATTGGGAGGCCTCCCCGGTGAGGTGTTCCGGGCATGTCCCAACGCCGGGAGGCCCCGGCGCACGCTGGAGGAGCGTGTCTCCCGGCCGGCCCGGGAAGGCCTTGGGATCACCACCTTATTTTTGTCCAACCTTTGCATTGTCAAAGAGCGCAAGCCATTTTCGACGCTTTAGCTTGGGCCTTGATTGCACAGATTTGTGGACAAAATGGGAAATTGTCCAAATTGGGACTATTTCGGCCAATGGCAGCGACGATACGTACGATTCGAAGCTACCTTCTGACTTTGACCTTCGTTTTCCTCCTCTTTTGTCATTGATTGACGCCCCAGCGACAAAGGTTTTCTCTCTCTCTCTCTATTTTATTTTTTTTTTCGGCATTGACTCAGCTCACGTCGTCTTTCAAGCATCCTTCCTCATGCGAAATTGCCGCAGGGCACACTGGGCAAGCGAGGCCGCGCCAGCAATTACGGAGGAAGACGAACCCTTCAGCTTGATTGACAAATGAAAGCGCCGAACGAGCTTCCGTTTCAAAGCGGCTGCTTGCCAGAATCCAGGGTTCATCTCCAATATCTCAAAAGGCAAGAGTGCAAATAGAGCTCGCATCAAGGCCCGCTGAAGAATACACGCACGGGGTGAAAATAGCGGATGCCGCGATTGAAAGTTCAAATTCAACTGGACGTTGAGATAAAGCTGACAAGATTTGCATGCGAATGGCCTTTGACTGCTGGCCAGGCAAACTTTTCACTCGCTGATCCTTTTATGTGCACTTGTAGCAAAAATACACACATGGGCCATTCATGAAGTCAAAAGCGATAAACATGTTTACAAATGTGTGCGCGCAGCATGTCCAGTCCTCCCCCGTTGCCTCAGGTCAACGTTTTACGAAAAAAGTTGCCTGATGGGTGACAGCTCTTTTTTTTTTTTTTTTTTAAATGAGTGCTCTCTGATAAGTAAAACAAAAACAAAAAACGAGAGAGTTGAGAGGTAATATCACACAGAGATCTTGTTCAGTTATTTCCAGTGGCATATATCGTTGGGTATCATCGGCTTGACAGTGGAAATCAACGCCGTATTTCTGTATCATGTAGATGCGAAACAGCAGAGTACCGACCCCTGCGGGACACCACACGTAACGTTACAAAACCCAGAATTTGCATTGCCGTGAATTACACGGTGCGGC